ATATATATATATATATTAAGGCCATCAAGTCGATTTGAGCTTCATAAGTGCATCAGAGGACCACCCAAAGAGATATGTTCTTATTGTGGTACATATTTTGCTAGGGCCTGCAGAGAGCTGCAGCAATAAGGAAGTGGAAGGTTATCTGAACAACAATGGCTGTAGATGGGTCTTCGCCCCTCTGCACGCATCACATAAGGGAGGGAGTGACTGAAAGGACTTATGAGGTGCACCCTGCATTGCATGCTGTTGAAGGTTGGCCCATCAAAGCTCATCTATATGAAGTCTTGACCACATCCATGGCGGAAGTCTCCGTGAATACTCGCCCGTTGGTTCCTGTATCCATAGATACAGACTTCCCATCAGCCTAGGATGGATTTGATGAGAAGAATTTCTACGGCAAGCAGCAGAGGCGAGAACAAAGTATATTATTGAGGCTTAATGTACATATTTTTTCCTTTATGGTCTTTATTTCATTTCAGTTTTACTTCTTTCTCATACTGTCAAAACTAAATGGTGGTACATCATTGGATGTTTCCATCATTCTTTGACTGTTTGAAGGAGTGTGTCTCGTTAAGCAGAGGGACTCTTGGACGAGGGCATAACACGGTGTGCTAATAATCCAGAGAAACGGAGTGAATGGTGAACAGTAAGTCATTTTATTGGACTTCATTTTGAAATAGTGGTGAGTTGAACCAACTATTACAGCTGCATTAAACCAAGTTGATTCTTGGCAAGCAAGCAAATTTTTTTTATGTTGCAAGATTTTTGATATTAGCATATGCAGCCCCTGTCCAAGAATATGAACTTCCTGTGATATACAAAGTGATGCAGACCAACAGCTCCTCAGTAACATACACGTTTATGTTAAAAAAATAACATAGCAAGGGGTGCCTCTATCCATGCACTGTAAATAAATGGATCTGGTCGACAAAATGGCTGCTTCAGGAAGACAGCTCAGCAGTCCAGCAGTAAAAAAACAGCTTAATGTATATCCTGAGTCTTCACAAATCTTGGCATGTGCATGGACTACACTAAAACAGCACAGGGAAAAGCACACAACAACATGGTAATTCAACATAATATTTCATAATCTAATGTGAGAAATTCCTGGGAGCTCAGATGCTGGAGTTTGAGGGTTGAGGTGGAAACAGTGAAATTTTAGAATAGTAATTAAGGATAATGGGAAACAGAAGAAGAGGGATCTCCGACAATGGCACCGAATTGTAAATGCATCCTAAAAACAAAAACAGTCAAGCACATAAGACGATAATGAAAATCCAGAACAGTGACAGTTACACACTGTGGGTGAAGCAGTGGTGGCTTTCCTCCCGGGCTTTTTGGTTCATCTTTGTATTAAGTAAATGTTCGTTTTAAAGAAATAAATACTAAATACTCAACATCACAGAGCTAAAAAAAAAAAACCAACAAAAAAAACACAAAGCTAAATGAGAGAAAAATTACACCAACGAAAAGCAATATCTTTACATAGTAAACACATTGATAACTCACTTTCACTTCCCCTGCAGATGTACATTTAAAATATATTTGACATTGTACACAGAGTGATGTGCTGGAAACCAGTAGGATAAACAGATCTCGTTCAGTGCCTCCTACTCCTTCCAGGGCCTTAATTGTCACTGTTCAAGGGTCACAACCTCCACCGCCTGTCCGTCTAACGTGACGGTGTTGTCTATGCGCGTGGAGACGGGCGCCATGGCCACATGGACGGGCCGGTTGCCGTGGGCGAGGCTGGTCACTACCGTCTGGTACATGCTGACTGGGATCTGGACCAGACCTGAGGGATAGAAGCAGAGATGTTTTAGACACAGTAATAATTCTAATAAATGAGTATTACATTTAAATCAAATTCATCAGGTAGCATTTGGGGGAGCAAGAATTCCCTTTTTTCCTCGTATGATTTTGAATTGAATTGAATAGTTTTCGACTCTTTGTCAGATAAAACAAGAATTGACGCCTTGGGATGAAAGAGCTTATCGGCATTTCTTAGCAATTGATTAATCATTCAAGTCATTTATCATTGAACATTTGCTGGTTTGAGATTCTCAAATGTGAGAATTTGCAGCATTATGTACTGTTTGGATTAAACAAGCGATGTGAAAGCATCACCGTGGTCTCTGGTAAAGGACATGCACGACTATTTGACATTTTATAGACTGAAACATTCATTGTTTAGTGAAAAAAGTAAAAAGAATCATTAGTTGCAGCCCTGATGCTAACAAACACTAGACTGTGTTTGACACGGTGTTTGGGAGGCAGCCATGTTACAGAGACGGTATTTCTGATAAACGGTCCGATTGAACGTCCTCGGCTCACTTCCGCCATGCCCAGCTGTGTGTGTGTGTTTCTGTAGGGATTACTGCTGCAGTCACGTGGGCCTCTGCCCCACCCTGCAAGCTGTCACAGGCAGGCAAGAAGGTCAGTGTAGAGGATGGCAGTGGCTAATGCCCACTCCCAACAATGTGAGCTATGACACTGGACTTGAATCATTTCAATGCCTACAATATTTAAAGATTTAAAGAAAAGAAAAGAAGTACAAAAATATATAATGCATGGTCACAATTGTTCATCTTTCAAGTCTCACTAAATTAAATCAGGCCCCTGTTGCTGGGCTAGCTTGTAATTGTTGGTCCTTTTAATGTGGGCCCTTGATCAGCCCACTCGCCAGTGATTTGTGACAGTTCTAAGTTTCGCTGATGCAGGTAATTGTGCTGGCGGTGATTATGGAGGAGAGCTTAGGGAAGAGGGCATTGGACCTGGCACAGTGACATACAGACGTAGCACAGTTACTGAGTGGAGGGCCTCATTTGGCCACTTGAACGTTGTTACTTAGACATTAAGGGTTGTATGCGGTGTGGCCGTGTGTATGTATTAGTGTGTGTCTGCATGCCTGTGTCACAGCGAAGGGTCGCTACACAAGCCAATCAGCATTGTCTGGGCCGCTGCACTTCAAATGGAGCGCTCCACCGTGTAGCACTTCAGTGATTAGCTAAGGTCAATACTCAGGAGGAGGACTGGCTTTGGCAGCTCCATTAGTTGTTTAAAGTGAGCTATTGCAGCCAAATGACTCCTTATGGTTGAGGAAGCAAGATGTCAAACTACAAAGGCTCCGGAGTTAGATTTGATTAACTTGAAATTACAATAGTATACAAATTGTACATATTTTTGTTGTCTGTTATTACTGTACTTTCTCTGAAATTCAATTTCATTTTGAGAAACCAGATTTATTAAAAAAGTTAAATTGTTTAGCCGATGGAAACATCCAAGGGGTACCAATGTTGGAATAAAATTCCTGCCATTTAACGCCCCATTTGGTGTCCCAGCTGGAAGGCTACATTAGGTGAAAGCATCTAGAGACATACTTCCCAGCAGTGATTTAAAAGAAAAGACAGATTTATGGTTTGGTATAAACGAGTGAGAAAACACAGGTACAAATAGGTATGCAGATACACTTGTTTAATTTAGAAAATACCTATATTCATGCGACATGTATATGTGTGAATGCATTTAGCCAAACAAGGGAACCTGGGGGCTGCATGCTGACAGCTGGCCCTGTGATTAGACCATGGACTGATAACGGAGAGGATTGGTCCTTCTTAGCAGCGCCCCTGAGGATCCTGTTCATGCCCCTAGGATAGTGTGTGTGTGTGTGTGTGTGTGTGTTTATCCCACCGTAAGATGGTGCTGACTAGAAGATAGAAATAAGAAAAAAAGATTGACAGCTGATTAAGTGTGTGTGTAACTAAACCCTTTTGTCTCAGAAGAACTTCCCGTTATATTTCCTAGAAATGGACTTTGATGTTTACGTTTGTTAGCATTACGAACTGTGTGGCGAAGATCAATTTGTTGTATCATTGCATTGATTATAAATGACCATGATTCATAGCCTCGATCTGCTAAAAGAGATGATTGAATTGTTTTCGGCACCAGCAATAATCAATATGGAAGGATGGCAATATTAATAATAACACATAAAGATAAAGAAATGATAATGCATCAAACCATAGTTTCCAAAACTGAAATGAGAAAGAATTCGCTTTTGAATCGCACTTGCGACATGAACAATCAAATTGACACACCTAATTACAAAAGGCATTGAGTCTTATTTGACATGTGACGATGAGAAGCCATGTCATGGTTAACACCAGGAAAGGCCAGAAAATATGTTGTAAAAATACCTGTATTTATGTGGAATAGGCCCCTGATATTTCCAGTCTACATTTAGTAATCAACTTAGCAGCGTACCCACTAATCATTGTCAAGCATTATCTTTACATTTTTTGTCAATGCTCTCCAACAAGGATCGGAGAATGTCGTTACAAACTGCTTCAATCTCAGCAGACGCATTGCCAGAGCAGTGAATGAAGTAATGCATGTAAGGAGGTTGACGATGGGGTCACACAGCTAAGGTATCATTAAAAGGAGGGGAGTATTGCTACAAGATACACACACAAAAAACACACCATCTGTCACATCAGCACAGAGTAGATTAGAGTGTACGTAGGAGCTCAAGAGGCCGCACTGCTACTGCAGGGAAGCTTAAACTTAGTGAGACTAATTAGACATGCCATTGGCTGGGGAACACACACGTTCCAATCAGTAAAGATGGTATGTCAAAAAAAATCTTGCTAAAATAATTCTGTTTTCTGTTATATTTCCATTCATCACAAAATAATCATCTTTTTGAGAGATCACTGGAGTCTCCAACTGCCCTAAATAGAAATAAACATCGATATTTAGAGCTCACTGAACTATTGGGTGTCTATTATATAGGGAGAAGTTATCATCTAGTGCTATAGGCAAAAACAGAAGAGACCGTATACTGTATATGACTCTATGTAAATTGTTATTTGTGGTGTATTTTGCTTGTTGATAACATCATTGGTGAATAGGTACCTGTGGCATCTTGAACCCCTGCCAGTGCCCCGACAGCAGCTGCTGTCTCTGCCAGGACAATCTGCCCTCCGCCTTGTAGAGTGGCCTCTGCCAACGTCGCTACAGCATGGGCTGCTGCCTCACTGCAACACACAAGAACACACACCCATTACAGTGTACAAAAACACAGGAAAATTAACATTTTCTGTTATTAAACACATATCAGATGGATGTACTCTAAGCTTCCAGATACAATCATTTGTACAAAGCAAAGTACACACACACACACGCACACACACACACACACGCGCGTAGTCAGCTCACAAAGGCAAGGGTTATTACAGAGAGGGGTGAAGAGGTAGGAGTGTATGAGCTGTAAGAGGCTTTTCTAGTCTGGACTTATAGAGAATCTGTCACATCTTCCGAAAGGCCAGGTGCTACGGGTCTAACAAAGCAGTTTTATTGACCAAATCTACCCAGTGGAATTACCACGAGCCTATTACCGCACCAGCTTCGTTATGAACTAATGGAACTGTTCACAGCTTGGCCGATAATCACATCTGAGATAGAACTTCAGACGCTCGGATAAGGGGAGGCGGAGCTACGAGAGTACAGACAGAGGCAGTAAGCAGTAATGGTGCACTCACACGGTTGTAAGTGGATGACGCCCAAATGGATTGTTGTTCAGTGAGACAAATAGCAGTAAAATAATCCTTATCGAGTCTTGAATACAGATATTGAATTCTGATTATTCTTGCTGTCATATTGGTGTAAATGCTGTGGTTTTCCTTCTTAGCAGTAAATATCTTGTTTTATCAAACTACAGCCTGCTGTGCACCATCAAGATTAAATGGTTGGCAATGAGAGGAATTTACTAATTGTGTTTGCACAGGTTCTGAAAAGTGGAGGCAATGTGGAAGTGCCTTAAACTTGCAGTGCCTCTAATAGCCAGCCAAAGCTTGACTGTATAGAAGTCTGTGAGAAAATGTACCCTTCTACTGACTTGAGTTATTACCTCAGTAAACATTGTAAACATGAGTTTATGGCCTCGCTACCACAGCGTTGGCAGCTCTAGGTGTTTTCGTCTTCGAACTTCAACCCTTTCACGCCGGTGTGTTTTCAGTTCATGAAAGTTAGGTTTTGGTTGCCTAAAAATGTCTTAGTCAGCATTTAGTTGTACATGTAGCCTCTCGTATCACTTCTGGTTGCAAAAAAGCCAAGATGGAGCTGGCCAAAATGCAGAACTCAAGGCTTCAAGATGGCAATCCATGTCCACACAGCAGAAAAGATAGTGGGAGAAAGAGGCTCTATTCTCCCTCTGGAGCTGGGAAGCAGAGACAAAATGTTCCAGAGCCTGTGGAGCAGAGAGCCCAGAGTAGCTCGGCATGGGTAAACAGGGGAGGGGAGGGGGGGGGAGGGGAGGACTCAGGTGGGTGCAGGTAACAAGCCCCAATGGGACATACCCATACACATCTGAAATTATTGCCTTGACAATACTGCAGTGAAGAACCAGCTAACATGTGAGCATCTCAGCAAGTCTGACTGATTAATCTGGCAAGTTTAAAACCTTTAGTGACAATATGAAAGATCATGAACATAAAAGATAGTTTCAGCCAAAGACCACCAACTAATTCTGTTCATGAGCACACTTTCAACCTGCTGTACTGTTGCGTTGTAATCAGATCCTGCAGAAACGTGGCCCTCCATGGACATGATTCAAGATCCTATGGTAGATCCCACCTGAATATAATTGTGTGTCGCTGATTTCCCTCCAGAAAAGCACTACACCAACAACAATCCCTGTGCATCTTCTATTACTAGAGTGGCCGCAGGTAAGACATTCGTCTTGCAAGACTATTTCCAGAAGCTGCAGACAGCCTGTTGCTTTTAGTCGCACTACTAAGCAATCAAGCATTTAACACATGCACTAGTGTTTTCTTAGTAAAGAAAATCATACTGAGCCATTGAGCACATGGACTTGTGAGCCCTGCCTCTATCAAAGCTCCAGGCTAATTAATTAGATGCTGAACTAGGATGAGAGGCAGTTGACTCGTCCTCCAGGGGAAGCCGGTAACCTGCCCCGACAGTTGTGCCATTCTCATCCAGTTGATGAGAATGGCACAACTCACTGATCCTGAATATTAAAATAACAAAATACCTTTCTAACGTTGCCCGCAGCCATACAAAGTTAAAGCCACCTAAACAACATCAAGATGCTATTTACTTCTAACTTTAACAGCCATATTCCCCTAAAGCCTTAAAAAAACATATTCACTCCTCCCACCCTCACCTGTTAAGCGCCATTGTGACTGTGGCTCCGTGATGCATTTCGTGACTGGCAGCTACAGCGGCTTCTGCCAGGGATGCTACTGCCTGCGTGGCCTCTGAGGCCTGAGTAGTTTGGATTGTCATCTCGCCGCCCTGGAGGGTGGCCCAGTTCTGCTCCACCTGCAGAGGGAAAATATATAATTTCACAAGGAAAACAAATGAGTATCTGAGGTTAGGCGAAACAGATTGTGTGAAACTGTTACCGTTATTGGATTGTTGGTTATCTGGCTTGTGTTTTGATGTTGTGGTGCTGAACGGACAGCTCCCGTCAAGTGTGCTTTACACCCTAAATTTGCTGCAGTCTTGTTTCTTAGGCACACGTCTTATTAGATCTATCAAGTGTATTACTACAGTCTGTGTGTGGTAAATACATGTGTGTTGTAGTAATAAAAAAGTGATTTGTGGTATGTGTATTGCACATGAGGTTGTACCTCTCCATCAGTGACGGTGGTGTAGTTGACCTGCGCAACCGTCACACCGGGCAGCTCTGAGGCATCTGCCAAGGTGGCAACTGTGTGTCCTGTGCCAACCTGAGAGAAAAGGGGTGCAGTCAAAAAAAAAAAAAGGGGGGGGGGGTGAAGAATTACTGAAAAAGATTGGGATTTGTAAAAGTGCACAAGAACTAAAAATGTACCTGGATGAGCGAGACCGTTCCGTCAGGGTTGTTGACGGTCTGTACCACAGTTTGTTGGGGCACAAGGTGAGCGATACTCTGCGCAGTGGTCAGATGGTGATGGGTGGTGGTTGTCGTGGTTACATGATCTTCAAAAGCATACAACAGATCCTCGCGGCCATGCTGCTTGTAGCAGTTCTTCACGATGGTCCGCAACGCCTGCGTCCAAGACACCTTTGGGAAACATAAATACAAGTTAATACGGCAAGTTATTCTACGAATTTCTTCTAGGAACAAATGCCATTTGAAAAGGAGGGAGGGGGGGCTACGGGAACCAGTATTTCTCTGCAAAGTACCAAAGTATGATGTCATTACTGCAGTATTTTTCTCACCCTCTGTTTCTGCTCCTCCGTGCGGACGTCACTGCGGACGTTGGCCCAAGGGATGTCCTCTGGCCACCACACTGGCTTGCAGCTCTCCTTACCCCAGCCAGGCTTCCCTCGGCCCGTCGAGTACTTCAGCATCTCAGGGATGAACGCCCGCAGCTGGGCCTGAGGCAAGGGAGAGATGCGTGGAGAAAAGAGATGATACAGACACCAAAAACTCCAAAGTGGAAAGCCGCAGTGTCTCTCTGAGACACGCATAAGCTCACACGCCCTTGAGCAGGCAGCAGGAGGCGCGTATTGATCGGGAACCCGCTGACGGGTGCTGAGGTGGTCAGGGCCTGCAAATAGAAACGGGCTTTCTAAAAAGGAGAACGATGCGATCATGTTTATTAACGGACCGATCTATGGCCGTGGCTCCAGCCTGATGCGTCAGACAGACACCATGGGAACATAAGGGGTGAACCAACGCAGTTCAGCAGTCAAGCTGTCCCGGCAAAAGCTCCAGGACACTCAGCGAAAGGATGAACAAGGACAAGCTGGCCAATATTGTGAAAAAGAAAATCAAACAAACATTTTTTTTTTTGATTTACTTTGGTGACTCATTAAGTGTGCTACATTATGGACTTTTTCACTAATTGTAAAAGAGGAAATTATTACATTTTTGGAGCTACTACCAATTATATATTTGATATGTCTTTAAACCGATTGCTTTGTCTGCCATGTTGCACGAGAGGCTTTCATCATTTTGAACTGTGCCCCATAGCAGGGAATGAGTGTGTGTGTGTGTGTGTGTGTGTGTGTGTGTGTGTGTGTGTGTGTGTG